CTCCAACAACTGTTGGGTGAATCGACAGGTGTCACTGAATCAAAGCTTATTAAGGAAGAGGAACTGGGATGGGAGCCTGTGGCCACCCGTGGCTCACTTTCCCGGCAGCTCAACACGGCACCTGGACCTGTGCTTTGTCATCTGGAAAACAGGGCTTCTGCCACCTGCCCCTGCCACCGGGGTGCAGTGCGAGATAGCAGCAGACCAAGGCTGTTTGGGTCCCTGTGGGGAAGAACCCACACCTTGAAGGTCTGAAGTCTTTGCCGTCTGAGCCTCCAAGAAGTCTGACCTGGAAAACTGCTGGGTCCCATGGGGGCCCTTGCTCACCCTTGCACGACCGCTGGTCCACTCATGTCGCAGGGCTGAGGGCCTGGGGGAGGAGACAGCCGCTCCTGTCACCCCAAAGGACGGGGCTCCTGGCACCCTGAGAGCTCCACCCAGTTAACTTACGCGGAATGGCCCGGCCCGTTCCCTGAAACACTCGGTAGCTTTTGTTAATGTCGTCGGCGCATGAGTCACCAATTCCCAGAGCATCTCAGCAGGCAGCAAACACGAATACCACGAGCCTGCTCTCCACCTCAACACCCTCAGCACCCAAGTCTGGCAAAAATAACCCTATAAAGGCTTTTCTGTAAAACACCACCTTTGTACAGCTGCCGGTAGAGCTGGTGGTGTCAGTGTGTCTGTTATAACACCTGCTTCCTAAGGGGGGAGGACGGATGTGGGGGGGGGGGGTTATTCCTGTGCCCTTGATTTGATCCAGCCGGGGCAGAAGAGCGGCATTTTAACGTCAGCCTGGGGCTTCTCCGCAGGAGCGTGTAAATCACAGCCACCGAGGTGGAGGTCTCCCACTGCTGGGGGTGCTCCACCGGTGAGGAAACCTTTTCAGAGCACGCACTAGGCGCCAGGTCCTGCACGAGGCACCAGCACTCACATCGCACCAGCTGGGTGAAGTCTGCCCTCAGCCATGCCGAGCACCTTCTCTGTTACCTGAAACTGAAGAATACGAGTTGTGAGAAAATCTTATGTGCACATGTATACATACACACACACATTTGTGTAAATGTATACATGTAAAATATATGTATGGACACCCACACAGGTATGCCTGAGTCGTAAGAGGGCGTTAGGAGAATGAATAAACCTAGGGGTTGGCGCCGAAATGAGTGTGACAGTCTGGGCTAACTTTCCTAACCCCGCAGTCAGGCTAAGGCGTCCATGAACACAGGTTTCTCTGCCATTTTATCTCGTTTCTACGGGAAATACCAATGGTCTTTTCAAGCAGCTGGCCATTGCTACATTTTTCCATCTAAAGAAGTTCATTCATTACAACGTAGGTGAAACTCTGCAGGAGCTCTCCTTGGGGTCCCTGGGCACCAGCCAGTTCAGGAGCCTCCTGCGGGATTCCTCAGGGGGACCTCAACTTCCTACCCCCCACCTCCAGCATGGCACTGCCCTGTCCCCACTCCACTGCTCACAGACGAACCCCTGAAAGCCCAGGTGCCACTTCCTCCAGCGCTCCTTTTCCCGAGTTCCAGAGTGCGCAGAGCACCCCGTCTCCAGAAGCGTGGTGTGCTCTGCCCGGGGTTACGGTTATTTGTTCAAATGCTTGCCTCACCACCTGCGGGGGCAGCAAGGGCTTCTTAGGAATCTGAATTACACAGAACCTGGCATTACACCAGGAGCACAACTGTTGCTCAGTCCAGGTCTGTCTCAGTGGACAGATGCCAGCAGCCTGCCTGCAGAGCAGGGATGATTTTGCTGCCCCCCAGTCCCCCCACCCAGTCCCACTAACATTTCCTGCCTCCCAGGAGTGGCTCAGACTTGGAAAAGAGTAATGACTCACATTTACTGAACGCTTAGCACGCGGCAGACACTGTGCCAGAAGCTTTCATACCCGTTACCTCATCTGGTCCTCCCGGACCCTCTAGAGGTAGGAAGCGCAGACGCACTAAAGGTGGGTACAAACACGTCCAAGGACTGTCCCCAGGTCCCAGGAGAGAAGCGGGGCTGGGTCAGGAACCCAGAGCCATGTGGCCTGCAACTTGCACTCTCAGCCACCGTGGAGAGCCTCCCCACCCTCTGCATAAAGATAAGTAAAATCAAAGTGCCCCAGACACTTAGAACACCCTCTTCCCACGGCCGGCGATCTGTTCACGTCCATGCCCACGTCCAGAGCAGCCTGCATTGTTAGGAAGCGCCCCTCCCTCTGCGGGGATCTGCCTCCCGGCCCACTGGCCCTGGCTGTGCCTTCTGCAGAGACAGAGTGAGTCCCATCCCTCCTTCCCGTGACAGTTCTTCAAATACCCAGGGCCAGCACTGCAGCTTCATTTAAATAACAAATTCGCCAGTGCATCTAAATACAATTTGAGTTACTCCAAGTCGATTTACACACGGAATCTTAGGAATACACTATATAACGTGCTGCTGATTACAACAGTAGGGTGACCCCTAATGAGGTTACTGGATTCTACTGTATACTTACCTGAAATTGACATTTAAATAAAAGTGAGCCAGATTCTTGGGTCAGGTTATCGCTACATCCTATTAATAATAAACATGTTCATTTCGCCAGATCGGTAATAATGTGAACATGGCACGGTGTATCACATAAAAAGCTTCTCACCGTAGCCATGGTTACAGCCAACACTTCAAGATCTGGGCTTCCTGAAACTCACCCCCAAAACCAACCACCACTAATCATGATCCCCTATTTTCTTTACAGCCAGTGCTATTTTAGTTCTGAACTCAAGTTGTAGGTACTTTCTTTGGGTTTTGTTTTGAATTCTTTCACTCCAACATGTACGCTTTAACCATCAAACACATAGTAAGTGATGACTTACAGAAAACGAATTCCCTTTTTTTTTTTTTTTTTTGCGGTACGTGGGCCTCTCACTGTTGTGGCCTCTCCCGTTGCGGAGCACAGGCTCCGGAAGTGCAGGCTCAGTGGCCATGGCTCACGGGTCCAGCCGCTCCGCGGCATGTGGGATCTTCCCAGACCCGGGCACGAACCCGCGTCCCCTGCCTCGGCAGGCGGACTCTCAACCACTGCGCCACCAGGGAAGCCCAAATTCCCTCATTTTTAAGTGAAAGTTTAATTTAGCATAAGCCTGCATATTGGGAACCTGGGTATATTATACTTTTAATGTCTTACCTCACCTCTCCAAAAAATTAAATACATCTTCTAGTGAGCCTATTCTAGAAACTATTGTGGGAAATCACCCATCAATTGGCAGCCTGAGTGGAAAAACGGGGTGATTTTTCTAGGCTGGTGATATCTAATTCCTGTTTACACAAATAACACACAGAGCGAACGAAACAGAAGCAGAAGCTGGCATTTTTCCAATGACTAGCCTGAGCAGCCTCTTATCCAAAAGCATTAAGAAGAAAGTAAACTTTAAAATGATTTGAGAGAAAGGTCTATTTTCATGACAGATGGCAGTGAGGGTTCTTCAATGCCAATTTAATCACTTTTCCTCAGTTTTCAAATGCTTCAGTTGTGAACCCAAGTGTCTGTGCCGCAGCGCTGCATCCCTCATGGGCGCAGAGGGCTGAGGACATGCACTGTGGTCTCGCTGACCCCCCCCCCCGAGTCCTGCAAGGGTGATTCTATCTGACCTAGGAAATCATGTTATTCAACACACTCTCTTCCGACATCAAAAGCGTTCTATGAGCACCCTTTTTGTCACAGACAGTCTCCTTGATTGGAGCGTAACCTATATAATCGTTTTTTGGTCCAATAACCTTAACAAAGAGACACTGTGGATGGGCAATTCATGGACAGAAAAGTGTCTGAATTTTTAAGCAGGGACCACTGATAATTTAGTACCGTTCCCTCACCTCCCAAGTAAATGAGGGAACTGAGGCCCGAGCGTCGGGTCCCTGCACCCTCCAGTGGTGCCGTGAGGACCAGGGCTTGTCCTGACCCGCGTCCAGCTCCACCTGAACTCGAGTCTTCTCCAGGGAGTATTTTGAAAACTATTCTATCTCATGAAGCTACTTTACATCTGAACTGTGTGTGTGTGTGTGTGTGTGTGTGTGTGTGTATATGTATATATATATATACATATATATATATTTTTTTTTTCCCAAAGGACATATATTTAACATTAGACTTGAAAGCTGTCATCCAATGAGAAACTCATCTACAGGCAAATCAGTCATGAGCATTCTTCATCTCTTCTGGGGCTCCTGTTCCAGAGAGAAAACTCCTTGAGTAGCACCGTGCTTCTGCCTTTTGGAAATTAGTACGTAGGTTTCCCAGACTACCTCATATCTTTGGTAAAGTATCTCAGGTACAGGACTGATAGGAGAGCTGATGTCACTGGCATCCTCTTCTGAGGCAGTTCAGATTGTGTTCACATTAACAACATAGGAAGTTACAGGCGCCGACCTCACGTAAAGATGAAACCTGTCTCTAGCGTCCAAGGAAGCAGGTACACGTGACATGCGGAGCCCTGGGAGGTGGGGTGTCCTCGGTAGAGAATAAAGCAAGTTATTGGCAGAGCTGTGTCTTCTCCAAGGAGAAACACCGAGAGCACCCTGAAGACTACCTGTGTGCAGCGATGTTTACCGGGACGGTCGGGGGAATAATTCACATAGCCTTTCCCAAAATAAGCGACGTACTTAATAGTCAGGACATCAGAGACGACGTGAACATTTGTAGTTAAGGAAGACTGGCAATCCATAACCTGAAGACTGGTGGCTTTCTGGGGATGGATCCCACCTCACCCCCAGGACACCACCCCAAGCCTCTACTTCCCCTGAAGGTAAGAACTCCTCTTCCTGTGTTCCTGGTGCCACCGGCCCTCCCTGAGCATGCCCTGCAGGCTAGGGAGGGGGCTGAGCACACGCGCCTCTCGTCCATCTCTGAGTCCCCAGGGGGGAGCAACACACAGCACGGGTCAGGTTCGAAACCCCGCGGATAAGCAGGATGGTTTGCATAAAAGCTCGATTCAAGGGGCCTGTCGCACTCCAAAGAAAAGGAATAGACAAAAATATTAATTACGTTTTCCTTTTAATAAGGCTTTTTACTCAAAAGTGTAGCTTTGAAAATCTCTAGCTTGTTGTGACAACCAGAGAAGCCAGGAGCGGCCTTGCCTTGAACATGGTGCCCTCGCAGCTCCCCGGCACCAGGGCTGGAGGGCAAATGCACCACTTTACAATCAGAGCCAACATTTAAAATTAGGAGGAGGATGCATGTCCTACTTGGATTCAAGGAGAAAGGACAAGTTCTCAATACAGTAAAACAAAACACAAAAAGTAAACAAATCTTTAGAAATCACTAGATGTGTGTGTGTGTGTGTGTGTGTGTGTGTGTGTGTGTTTATATAATTAGGATTATCATCAACATTTAAAACTATTAAAAATAAGGTTGCCACCTTACCTTTTCTTTTGGTACTGGGGTGTTATTTTTTTAGGAAAATTTTTTCTTTTTTTTTTTTTGCCCAGCCTCTCAAGTTTCCTAACCTGAAGCCTGTTTTCCCCCAGAGCGCCACCGTCAAGCCCCGCTGGCAGGAGGCAGGGCAGGCTTTGATTCTGGTTGTCAAGATGACAGGCCCACAAAAGCACAGCTGACAGAGGAACTGAATTCTTCCCCGGGAAGAAGATACATTTGCCCGCAATGGGTCTGCAAAGTCTTCCGAGGCACCTCTTCCCCCTCTGTGCTCTGCTCGATAACTTGTTTGTTTGGCCAAGAAGCAAGATGGCAATCTTAATCAGAAAGGGAAGCTAGATTTTTTAAATAACTTAAAAAAATCATTTTTATATAAAGCAGCAAAAACATATTTTCCTCTCTGCAGAAAGAAAACCGTGAACAAGGAAACACAGCGATGTAAACGGGGCCGTTCATACACTTCTGCTAAACTGGGTCCCCCGACAGACTCAGAGCTACTTTCCAACTTCCTCGGCGCTGTCGGAAGAAGATTCTTTGGCGTCTCCGGTCGCTCTTTTACTTTCCTCTTGATTTAAACTTTCCTTTTCCGAACTGGTCCCGTTGGGTATAGAGTTTTCGCCGTTGACCAGCCCGTGCTCTGCAGCCTTTGCCCTGCGGACAGCCTCAGTGAGGGTCAAGGCCTCCTGTGCGCCGGCCTCCCCGTCCGGGTCCCTGAGGACCAGGGGCAGCCGCGAGTCCGCCACGCCCTCCAGCAGCCCCGGGTTACTCTCCTCGTACTTGGGGAGCGGGGCGTGCCCCTCCACCTGCCTGCGGCAGTGCTCTCGGTTCGCGGCTGCGCTCTTGACCGCTTTTTCCAAGATCTCTTTCTCACCTAAGCGCAACTTGATGGCCATCGTGGCACGAACGGAAAGGGCATGGTTTTTCAAGAAGGACTTATCTTCCTGGAAAAGGAAACAGAGCAAAATTAACTACAGCAAGTCTAAACCAGCAAAACGATAGTGCCAGAAGGCAGATCAGTTGCTGCCGGGGACGAAAGCATGAGAGAAATTGGGAGTGATGGGGGGGGGGGGGCGGTGACAGAAGGTTCTGGAACTTGACTGTGGAGGTGGCTGCCATGACTGCACGCTTAAACCCAAGCGTACACTTCAGAAGTGTGAATTTTACTCTATGTAAATTATACCTAAGTAAATGATTATAAAACAAAAAAGAAGAGCCTAAACCAAATGGTGCGTGGACACTGACAGAACTCCACTTATTTCTAAAACCCTTCTGTCTTGTGCCCTGATGGAGCCCAGGGCTCGGCACCTGGCTGAACGATGGCTGAATGACAGGCACTTGAAGTCAGTGACCCAAGAGTAAACTTGTGTTTGTATCATATGAATTAGAAATTATGGAAAAGTGTTAAATAATGTAAAAAATTTATATTCTCATCAACAATGCCTCAGTGTGACTCTTGGTAGGGGTAAACATGTAAAATAGAAAAATATTAATAAGTTTAATGAAAAATGTCAAATACACAATGATTTTGCTAAAGCACGACAGTAATTTACATTTAAGAAAGAATCTCTTATTAAACATCTTTTAAAACATGACAAAGCACAAATCCTCCCTTAATCAACAGAATTACCTCAATGGTTGTTTTATATGTTTTTAAAAGAAGTGAGGCTCGATCTTCAAGAAATGTCCACAGTTTGACCTCATTGTCCCAGCTAACAGGATACTCAGAGTTCCCCAAGGTGAAGATTCTGTCAATGGCATTATCTCCCAGCAAATGTTCTTTCAATTCTTCTACAAGAACACAAACAGCCATCTGTTAGGGGAAACAGCACTACTTCTCATTTTCACCAGCAGCCCACCTCACAAAACATCCTTCCCAACAATGTCATCTTCCTGGGGTGACGAGTTCTCCCTGATCCATCAGCCAGGCCGTGGCTAGACTCTCCAGAGTAGAGCCAGAGCTGCTTCAGGGGAGAAAGAGGGGAGTCTTCCTGATTTGGAACCCAGACCAAGCCTTGCTGGGCCAGCCCTCCACACTGTTCACTGTATTTAAGAGGGATCCCGAGAGCCTTTAGATGGTTTCGGAAGATACTTCTTAAAGACCATCTGTAGCGACACACGCCTTATTTTGACAACACCCCTCTTGCAAACTCTGAGCCCAGTCACAGCAACTGGGTCAAAAAGACATGTAGGTGAGCAACGTAAACTGTGAAAGCAAACAACAGCACAACAACCCAGTGATCCTTCTAGACTGAAATCTGACGGATGCTAATTCCAGCAGTTGACCTGACAAAGCTATTTGTCTCGTCTTACAACAAGTAAACCACAAACTGAAACCCAAAAATGGACTAGAAAAATCTTAGTTAATGAAATACGTGTCTATATCCCTCACTTGTCAGGAATTTAAAAAGGAATTACAAATAAACACAAGTGCACATCTCAGCTGCCTTCAAATATATGTAAGAAGAGGGAAGAATTCAGCAACTGCTCTGAGCATTTTATCTCCTGGCACATTATCTTCAAAAGACCAAAACATGCCGATCCTATTCATGCTCAAGAAATACAACCGTGCTTCTTATGTAATTATGAGACAGTATCTCTTTCAGAGCAAAATGCCCTACAGCTGTCACTATTTACAATTCAAATGGAAGAACTTCTGCTGCCAGCAAACCAAACTTTTATTAGTATTAGTGAGAGTGACTCAAAGAGTGCATCAATTGTCTTGACAAGACAAACTGTCTATGACTAAAGAGAAACTAAAGAGAATCAATGGAGCTAAGATGATTCAAAAGCAGGTTTGCTGGGGTTTTTTTAAGAAAATAGAATTTAATGTAATATTCAGAAAAGAAATTTCTTAAGTTGCATTTGTTAGCAAAAGGTCATGATGAAATTCAGGATTTTTAGATTTTTGATCCTTCAGTTTATATTCTCTGCATACAGCAATGAAGATTTTTAAAATGCTTTTTAAGTGGAAGAAGCTTCTTTTTAGACGCCCCCAATACTAAGGTTACAGTTTCTGTTTTCCTCCTCAACCTACCGAGTTGCACCCTTTAATTAACATTGGGAAGGTGAGGGGCTGAAGCAGAGTTTTCTCTCTGCCGCTCTTAACAGTGATACTGGACTGGTTTCACATGCCTGGAGAAATAGAACCCACGAAAGGCCATCACCCTGCCTGGAACACTCAGGAAGTGAACCACAGGCTCCGGGGGCAGGTTTCTTCCCCCTCTTCCCTCTCGCTGACAAGCCCTTCCTGGATTTCCTGCATTCCTTGCCCACCGCAAGAGTGTGGTTTGGTGGCCCCCAGCCTGGCCCCTGGACACCCTGCAGTGCTAGGATCTCTTCCGTGGGCTATCGGTCTTGCAAACCCGCAGGAGCCACGTGGGGGCCTGGGGTACAGGCCCTGAGGCGGCAGAGCTGGGTCCCAAGTCAGGGTCATCGCCGGCCAGCTGAATGGCCAAGTTACTCTCCTCTTTGCATGGGAGCTTCTACGTCAGTCAAGTGGGAGCCCCACCTCCCTCCAGCAAGGCTGATGAGGATGAACGAAGCCTGCACCACGTTCAGCATCGTGCCCGGCACAGAGAGAGGGCTCCCAAATTATGGGGATTATCATCGTCGTCATCTCTCATCAGGATATGAACTGTGACATTCAACTTTGTAACCCTATATTACATGCAAGAAAAGCCCACGGTTAACCCTTAACTCGTGTTCACTAAATTGAAGTGAGGAACCAGTGCCAAAGCACAAAATCACCAGAAGCTCCCACGTGAGTGACAGGGAGTCTAGAGCAGTGTGGCTGCGAGCGAGGGACAAGGACCACCTAACACCTCTCTGGGCTCTGCAGTTGGTTGTCTGTGTTTCAGGACTCAGTTTCTTCTACTTCCAATGTCAAGCCAGGACCTGGGCGGCACTTCTCTGGCCGCAGACATGAAGGGAGGGAGCCAGACGGCAGAGACCAGCAGACTCCCTCCACGGGCTGTCATTTCTGCTCCGGCCCCGGGCTGCCCTTGCTCTAGCGCTCGGACAGCTTCCTTCAGAAGAACACTTGTCTGTCTCTTCAGTTAGGTGGCACGCACTCACTGTCACTCATTCCCACCCAATCCACTGTGCACAGGATCCAGGGTAGTTTACAACAACAGCAAAGTCACACACAATTAAAAATGGAACCTCACAACCAGGGGATTTGGAGGAGTATGTTTTCAGATGAAAAGTGAAAACACAACTGCAATAGATCACATCTCAGTGCCAGAGATCCCAAACGGCTTGTCTTAAGGAAACATAAAAGTAATGCTCAATGCATACATTTAACTTTTTGTGCCTGAAATAAGAGGCTGTAGACAGGAATATTTGCAGTTTAAACAGGTTCTGTTTGCAGTGTTATTTACTCCAACTGGATGCCTGGCACTGAAAGGCCTGCTGGCAATTTCGGATTCACACTACAGAGCTGGTTAACAAATGAAGGCCTCTGGCCCACGTGGGTCAGGGCCGACCACCCGACTTCAGTGTCGATGACCATTCACCGTGAGGACATTTGGGCTCTGTCGTCCCGGGTAACAGGCACATCAGAAGCTCCCATCTACAAATGTCGAATTTTGATACAGGCAGACAATCCAAGATGTATTAAGTTTTCTTCCAATGCAGTAGAGAATTATTTGTTTATTACAAGCGTATACTGACAACACACTGAGGATTTAATAAAATACTTCCAGGATAAAACAGATCAATTTCTTCTTTCTCCAATATTACCTCTTCCCCCCAAAGTGCTTTAATTTTAAGTAATTTTATCTTTAATCTGAATCCCTTTGTCTCACACTTCATGAATTAAAAAAAGAAAAAAACGCAACTTTTTTTTTTTTTTCTGAAATGATTTACCTTCGGTCATGCAGAAGACTCGGAGAAAAGCCAGAAGTTGGGCAGAGATGGGTGGCTCCGTAAAATGCAATGCAAAGACACTGGAGCTGACGAGAGGAAGAAGAGAGATCAGGCCCTGCTGCAGTGGCCTCCTCGCCCCACAGTGAAATCTCTGAATCTGCACTCCGTGTGTGGTCCTCAGGGAGCCTGGGCCAGCATGAGGGACCCCACCTCCTCACCAGAACTCTAAAAACAGAATTTTCAGCCCTGGCGAAATGCGGAAGGCCTGGGCTGGCCGAGGAGGGTGGCGGTAACCATCACTGCCTGCAGTTCTTAGTCTAATAGCCTTCATCTCGGGTGCACACAACACATCAGGAGAATTAAGCATACCCATGGCTCCTAAGAAAGGTTAACAATAATTTATGTTGAGTTCACATTTTAATCATTAATCAAATATTGACAAGTTCAATAAAAAAAGGTCTAGATAATCCATTTTCATTAAGAATGGTTCTCTCCACTCCCTGGAGAACCAATAAATCATAATTCTTGTCCCTATCATTTTGCACCTCAAATGCAGGAAAATCTTAAGATTTGATTTAACCAGAAATTCTTGAAATCACTGACTATCATGACTTCATTACAGAACCTAATGGTGGCAAAGAATTAAATGAGACAAATTGATCCAGGTCATTAACCTTTTCAAGGTGAAAGGCATTAATGACATGGAGACACTTATTTAACTGAACGAGGATTTCAGGCCACATCCCCTGGAACTGGCTGTGGACGCTTCCAGAGACACAATTACGTTGATCTGAAAACGCTGGTAAATCACCATGCATCTCCACGGTTTAACTTTGCAGTGTAACAGGGATGAAGGGATTAAGACAAACTACAGTGGAGAAGTTTTATTAACACGCCAGTTAAACACTACGCGACTGGAAATATTTCAAGTACCACAGTAAAGAGCTGACAGATTTTTTTCTACGTACGTTGGGATGCCAGCGCGAGCCAGGACCTCGGCCTTCATGGCGTACAGCCTGTCACTTTTACTCACTCCAAGCTTTATTTTCACTCTGTCGTGTGAATTATTGTCAAAGAAAAAACCACTGTGGATCACAAACTCTGCATTTGACCGAGTGCCATAAAAAATGTAAATCTGAGATGCAGTAAAGAAAAAATAAAGGGATATAAAAGAAACTTAACATCCATTCTCAGTACAGAGCAGGGCAAAGGATCAGTTCTCATATATTTAACGCAACTTCACACTAAGGAGACAAACAGCTCTGAGGTGACCATGTCCCTGTCCTGAACATCATGTGCTGCCGGGTGGGGCCGGGCGGGCTGAGGAGAGCACACGCCGACCTCCTAGCACCCAGAGGAGCCGGACCCCGTCGTCCCAGCCTTTCTCATACCCCCTCACACTCCCAGTCACAGCGAGACTGCTGCTTTACGACTGCACTTTAAAATTCACCATGTTCTTTTCTCCCTCTCCTTTAACTACAAGAGCGTCTCCTGGAACCAGGGTTTAAGGCAGTGTCTGTCAGAAATCCACTTCTAGATGCTGCGGCCATTCTGCACTGTCTCCAGGCACTTTGTTAGGCTAGTATTTTTCACTCTGTCCCAGCTCGAACATCAGTGGTCTGTGTCGGTTCTGTCTTTTGTGTTCCCTGCTTGGTCACAGGACTGCCAGGCAGAGTGCAGGTGTCCATTCGCGCACATGTTCAACCCCACCCCAAATATTACTCAAAACTTCACAGATTAAAGTGAAAGTACAAGAAGGCAGCTCTTGTGGTTCCTGATTCCCTTATGGTTTTGCCGCTTAAATAAACTGCCTCCTTTTAAAGAAGGTTCTAATCAACAGAAAAAGATATGAAAACAATGCAGTCTATACAATCGAAAAATCTGTTCTACTGTCGTAACACAGAATTTATTTTCAGTTGACGGTGTTACACACAGTAGATGGGTTGTGCAAATAACTGCGTTCACATCTTTCTCCCTGGTGGACCTGAACGTCCCATTCAAAGCACGGCATATTTATTACGGCTTTGGGTCTCAATATGTATTCCAGAAAACAAGCCTTAAATACAAATCTCAAAATTTTCTGCCCAAGTTAAATACTTTTTAAAAACGATCAACACAGTTTGAGGTGAGGGACTCCGTGTGGAACCCACCTGCTCTCCGGCCCGGAAGTCCTGCAGGGCTACACACTCACAGCGGTCGTCCTCCAGGTTGTAGCCGGTGGTGATCTGTACACGGGAGGAAGGATGACAGGACAGCGTCTAAGTGCTCTCGCTCAGGAGGGCCTTTTTCCGGCGATTAGAGGATAAAAGACACGCAAAGCTACTTAAAGGGCTGCATTCTACTTGCTTCACCAAACTGAGCAAAGAACTGCTTGGTTATTTTCATTGATTCTACTCACACCAGAAATCCTTATGGAAGACCCCGTACCTGCAGTGAGGGACATACTCTTCGGAAAATGTATTGTATAGGTTATCCCTTGCTGGTCTCAATCAAACATAATCATTCATTACAAAGTTACAGGCTTTGAGCTCATTCCCCCCCTCCCCCGCCATCTCCAGCCACCCACCCACCCACAGGACCTGCGCTCCCGCAAGAAGGGAAGCGGGATCTCTGGAGACCTCGAACTGACTTGCAAACAGCATCTTTAGTATTTGGTCATTAAGAACACAAGGCAGGTTTCCCACTGGATAAAGAATCAGGGAGAAAGAAAAGCTCTGTTTCCAAATTATGTACTTATTTTACTCTGGAACTAGAGAAATTAAAACTTTCAGATAAGCAAAGGAAAAATAAAACAACTTAGTTGTATCCTATTCACTCTCTTTATGCTGAAAGCTATCCTGTGAGAGTTTCTGAACCCCTAAATCCACTAACCACACTGACAATCCGCATCTCTTCCTAATCTCCTGTCAAGGGGTGTGGGAGGGGGGCAGGCGATGTCGTGGTCTCGGCACTGAAGTCACCACAAAATTCTCTGGGCCTCAACTGGTCAGCATTTTGCCTTCCGAGTCACCCTTTGCATTTTGTTTGTCCTGCCGTCCCCTGGCTTTTCTCACCCAGCTCAACACGTGCAAAACCCTTCCAACTGGTCTCAAATTCCAGAACTGTCCCTCCCGTGTCCCGTGTGGCATACGTGTTTGACCTCCTGTTTAAAACTTTTCAGTGGTGCTCCACTTTGCCTTGCGGAAAACATCCAAATTTTTGAGCAAGGCCAGTTTACAAGGAGGCCCACACCTCCCTACGGTCTCTGGACACGCCACTCGCCTGCCACTCCAGGCGCCGTCCCCGCTCCCTCGTGCCTGCGACCACCTTCAGCTCCTGCTTTGCCTGAGCCCCGGCTTCTCTGGAGATGCCCCCCTTCATCCCACCCTCCCTCTCTGTTCCCCAAAGCCTGTCCCACCCAGTAATAGGGTATTTATATCTATGCACCCCCCACCAGGCAGACCTGCAGCCTAGCCCTTTTCACCTCGGCGCCTGGAGCTTAGCTCACCGGGCCCAACACCTGACACTGCCCTCGCCCTTGAGAATATCTGCTTGATGCAGGGAAAAGAATAGGCTCTCCAATTTATATTAAAAGCTCCTTCTCAGAAGTCTGTCCCTCAGAGCAGCCCCCAATCTCTTAGATTGTCTGTAAATGCTCATTAATTACTTCGATCTCCTCATTTTATCCTAGAGAATCAAAATTCAAGACGGCTACAAGTGCTACTTTGCTATTCAAGGTATCAACAGCTCAAAAGATTACTTTTGAGTCCAGGGAATGGCATTTGGGGATGGAAGGGCAGATAACACTCCTCTTTAAACCCAGTATCCCCAGAACCAAGACCAATGAGAAATACGAAAGCAACGAGGACTAAATGAAGGCAGGTGTTCTGGCTCATTTTCACTCACAGAACAGCTTAAACACTTGATAAAAAAATCAGCTCCATGAAGTTCCTGCCCAATATCAAAATCACTTTTATGACCCCCAAACATGACCCTGATGATAAGGTACAGAGTGGGGATTGCCCATGACCTCCCAGCCCTAGAAGGCTGGCATTCCATGGTGCAGGCAGTACCCAGGGGCCTGACAGGAGCACGAACAGGCAGAAGGAAGTCAGGGGAAGCAGGAGGGAAGGGGGAGGGCCAACAATCTATAAGAGGAGCACGCGGAAGCACAGGAGACAGACGGTGGAGGACAGGAAGGGAGGCCCGTGGGTGGGGAGGTGTGGCCATCCTATGCGTGGTGCTCAGGATGGCCCAGCCTGGGGAAGCAGCGGGAACAGTCAGCGCAGAGGCCCTCGGTGGGCGTGTAGGGCCCAGACAGACTGGGGTGTAGCGAGGACAGGCTGAGCAGGGGGCCCTGTCTGCTACTGTAAACACCTGGGCTTTCACCTTGAGACTGGAAGCCTCATGCACATCTAAATGTTTCAGATCTTCAACACTCAAACAGAAGGGCCTCGAAAAAGAAACCCCTGCAATTCTGCTTGAATCTTCCAAAGCCCTTTCATCCTGGTTGGTAGGGTCACGTATCCAAATACAAGGGCTGATCATTCCAACACGCTTTACCTGTTGGAACTAATACAGAGGCCGAAACCCACTTAGAAGTATCCTTCTCTGTATAAACTGAACAACCTCAAAAAAGGGAAAGCAGACCTGTTCCCGTTAGTTCTGAACAAGCCACGCAGAATTTAGATACATTATGCCTCACAGCCCAACACGCCGCCTTATAAACCTGTCTACGTTTGTTTCTCGGAGTGGCTAGGAAATAGATCACGTTCGCTAGAGTCTCCAGCCCGGCCTAGATATTCATCCAGCCTCTTAATTTCTCGTGCTTTTCCTTGCTGCTGCTGGTTTGGAATCACTGTCACAGGCTTGATTCCTCCATTTCTACCCCCATAACCAGGTTTGGGGACACTGTTAGAAGCACGCAGCGTTGCTGGGTTACAAATTTCTATCAGCTCCCCCAGTGGTAGTCAGATCAGACAGACAACGACTGTCAGGACAGACACACACAAAAAAGAAATCTACTGTCTGAAAAGCTAAGCCTTTCTTTCAAGTACCTTATTTTAAAAGAGATTAGCTGTTAATATGTATGACATACAATTTCATAGTGCTAAAAGAAATTCTGAAATCCTACCAGACAGAATTTCCCATCAAGTGTTATTTTTATGGTGGGAAACTGTCCAACAAAGGTGTAGTAGAGTTAAGTGTGCAGAGAAGATAACCGCTGTAAGAAAAAGCACTAACATCTTGGATAAACCTTCTCAAGGTTAGCAGTGTTTCTGCCAGGGCTGCGGTGGCTGAGACCTGATGAACAGTATTAGGAAAAAGACAGTATTAGTAGTTGTCATCAATTCGTTATTTTTATTTTGAGATAAACTTTTTTTTTTTTTTTTTTTTTACTTTTAGGGGGGAAAAGAGTGAGTAGTTTACATGAAAGCCACACAAAACCAGTGTGTATGTGAGTATGTGAAGGTGCAAATGCACAGCAAAAGAGTGGGAGAGATATGCAGAAAGCCAGTAGCCAGCTACCCAGGAGGCGTCGAGTGGACCAGCCACGGGGCCGCCGGGGCCCAGGACTGGCAGGGGACCTCCGAGTTTCACTGCAGAGGATTCTGTTTTCTTTAACTGGTTTTCTTTGTTTACAGTAAAGTATGTACTTGTTAAATTTTAGAAAGAAAAAAATAAACCCCGATGATCAATCAAGTTTGGGAACCAATGACCTAATCCAAGAAAAAGAAAAATGTTACTGTCAAATATTAAAAGCTATTTGAAAAATTTTTAAACGTCAATGTTATAATCATTTAAAATAGCTCTGAAAGAAAACAAAAAGAACAAAATATAAAATTGTATTCATTAATGAAAATAAATGATAAAATACGCTAATACGCCTCAAAACGGCTACATTAAGCACATCTAAATTAAGGCAAAAATATAATTATAAAAGTATAGATATTCTTTCTCTCCAATTTAAGAGTGTGCTGTGGCTAGACCTTCCCAGGTTCACACTAGGGTTTCTCTCAAGTGTTTGGCACACATGGCATGTGTTCTGGCCATTTTGTGGAATTAGATGTGAAATACTCATTTATAGCACCAGTCTATTTATAATACTGCTAATAATAACAAAGAAAGCTGACACTGAGAAAAGATGAACAAAAAACTAACCAAACCAGTATACGATTATAATATTTAAAAATTCAAAACGTTCTGAAGTTGATCATTATTTCCAACTAGTAATATCAGGAAATCTTTCTCAGCACAGAGAGCACAGCAACCTGCTCCGAGGTTCAGAATCTGAAGAATGCTGAGAAACAGAGGCAGCCTCCTCTATGCGTCATGATTAACAATCCTCACAGCGTCTCCCTATCTTTCCAACGTCTGATGATGCCAACTGACTCCTGCATCCAAGGCCAAGAGCCAAACGCCGAAGTGCACCTCCTCCCGCCCCACTGCCAGGGACACCAGGACTGGCTCCTGAACAAAAGCAGGTTAATCAACAGGGCCAAGGATGTGTCTGCATAGCAGGTGAAGAGAGAGGGGGCAGGAAAGAATCAGAGAAACTTAAGTAACTGACAATACAGTCAGCAAGGAGAGAAAACAAGCAACACAAAAGGAAAACCCAGAAGGAGAAAGGATTTTTTTTCAATAAATTGGTATTTTAAAAAGAATAAGAAAAAAGAAACTTTGGTTTAAGTCTGTCGTCCAATAAGATAAGAAAATGTATGTGTCTAGGCTGGAATCGTGGCTTAGCAAAGAAATGCAGTTCACTGTGGCTTCTGAAAGTGATATAAGACTCACGTTTTCAGGATTAAGTAAACACAGAGAGAAAAAAACGCCAGCCTCTCCTCATGGGGGGCGAGGTTTGGCGTTGTCTGCTCCTCTTGGAGGGGGCAGTAGGGGACAGTGACTTGCAGGCAGAACTTCGCCGGTTAATGAACACGACCCAAGGAGGTCCTTACCAGGCCGTTGGTGTGATTGCACATGTCCCACAGAGGAATCAGTGCCAGGGTCACCCGGGAACCATCCTCCGTGGGAATCTGGTTTTGTCGAGTCATAACGGAAGAGACCGCCCACCTGTAACAATCAGAAAAGAGGCGAATTACGGCCGGCACATCTGAAAGCCCACGGCAGTCACAACTCAACCAAAACCGAGGTGTGCCTGACCTCTCACGAATTTTCAAAACCCTTTCCTAAGTCGCAAAGGTGATGTTCATCATCATTTAAAATTAAGTCTAGGGTAAAGAGAAGAGGAGGGGGGATATGGAAGGAAAAGGGAGCCAGGGGAAATCTAGGAGTGAGAGATTAAGGGAGGACGTTCCCGGGAGAAAGCGGCCTGGAGGAAAGGCCTAGAACAGAGTCAGCCAGGCCTCAGCTGGTCCCGGTCCGCGTTGCTGCGGAGAGACCCCACCCCTCTTTTACCCAAACGCTGACTCTGTACCTATTTTGAGCCTCACTGAAAAGCAAACACTAACTCCTTTCTGATCGGAATCCTCTAAGAACTCTACAAAATGTGGAATGGTATTTTTTTTTCCTATGTTGTGCACTGCATTAAATCTTTTTGTTAAAAAAAAGTCCCCACTTTAAAGAGCTAAAACAGTCTGTTTGAAAAAAAAATCCTCACCCCACACTAATGTTAATCTTGAGCATCACGTGGCTCTATCAACTAATCCCCACCAACACAGGTTAATGGCAATTTCCACATGGCTATTAAAACGCTGCTCCCTGCCCCGGGGTCCAGTGTAACTTCCAGAAAGAACAATCTCTTTTTTAAGGCTTTAAATAGTCATGCAAGTCACTTCTTACCCAAGCCCTTCGCACTTCTGAGATCCCAATTTCACTCAGAAACCACCCTCCAACACATGCCTCGCACATACGTACACCACACCCCACACACACCCCAACACACACACACACACACACACACACACACACACACACACACCCCTCACACCAACCTGTAGTCCTCATAAGTGAAAGAATCCTTCAAGGGCAGTTTGTGGGCATGAGGATGGGTCTGGGAATTAGAAGTTTTAGAAAGCAGAGGTGAAAAGAGAAAAAGGGAAAACAGAAATCAGTCAGCAAAATTTCATTATTTAGCTGCCTAACAGATCCTAACAAGAGCCAAATGAAGCAGGAGGCATCCAGCCGCGCTACTGAGGGATCACCGTGCTATTATGCTCTCATACATCACTGTCAACTTAATTTGTTGTGCCCAGCAGCCGCCATAAATCTGCTGCTTCATATTTCGATACCAGGACCCACAGACACGGCACAGAAATAAAATTTAAGGTGGACTGAGTTTACAAAAGGTAGGCACACCCACACCGTAAGTCTCTCGTCTACACGGAAACCCGGAGTCTCCAAGTCAGGTGTCTGTCCCAGCCTCCCTTTGCATCTCTTGCCTTAATGTGCTGTACAGCCCTCACGAATAGTCCAAATCTCTTCTTGCATCAATAAAAGGAACAACTAAAGGCACTCTAATAAATTGAAACTTCTTTCATTTATCTCTGACTTAAAATCATTTGGAAGGAAATCAACTTGTTACGTGCAAATGAATCATACAACATGGCAGATGCAGCTCAAATACAGAAAATCAAGAAAAACACAGTTTTGTGAAATTATGAATTACATTTTACAAACAAATGTAATAAAGATAAAATCGAGATCGGCATATGTGAATTTTACTCCTTTTCTTTTTGTCTCTGGACAAAAGAACATTTGATAAAAATATCCAAAACTCCACACTTTAGAGAAAATTGTACACATCTCACATCCTCTCTCTCCACAATACTCCCCCCACCTTGGGCCTTTCGAGCACTTAAAAAACTGTGTCTCAACTAAGAAATTCAAAGCTGTAACAGTATAATTTTAATCTTCGGTTTCCATTACAGGCTGACAGACAGATTGCAGTAAGTGATCAAATGGTGACTTCTGAGATACCAGTGCGATTCGGCTGCACCGTCTCTGCAGCACTGCAAATGCACGGAGCCCCGTGCAGTATGCAGTTTTGACTTTTGACGCATTACCATCACAAGTGCATATGGTAATTTATCATCGCTCACTGCACTGTACTCGCTGGCACCGTATGCAGGACAGTAGGGGATGAGGTAAAAGTGGCTCGAACCGTAAATCAATTAGAAAACAAAAGCTTGTGCTCGGCGCGCAATTTTAGGCAAATTATATATTACAAAAGGCTGCCAATTGGGTGCTAGCTCCCAGGTGCCTGCTTCTCCCCTCTGATCCTAAACCCAGTATTAACCCTTTGGAAGAAAAGTCAACATATGGAAATACAGTCACATAATATGTAAATGTTCTGACAATAAAAATGAAATTAAAGAAGATATAATTTAGGTCAAAATATAAAATAAAAAAAATAAAATAATATCGCTCAGGGGCATTCTCCAGCTGCATTATTCTAGCTAGGAAGATTAGAAAAAACTATCTCTGGTTTAAAAAAAAAAACCCAATACCATGGTCAAGCACAGCAAAGATTCGAGGAGAAGCTTCTTATTGCCTCTTCTTTGTAATGAGTGAAATGCAAGCCTGTGTCCTAAGAGTCCTAAAGAAGCTTTCCATTTAATTATGGAACTTGACCATAAGGGTGCTCAGGTTTTTCCTCGTAAGAGTACAAATTCCGCAGATAAGAACTGCCCCTCCACCCAAAACTAATTTGATGATAAGTACCATAGAAATTTTTCAGAACTTTAAAGAAAAGAAATTCCATTGCTAAAATTTCCTTTCACTTATAATAAAATGAAGCTTCACACAGTCTGACCTGCTGGGAATGTTGCACATCCTATCTCTTCTCAAACTCTAGGAGGGGGGGAAAGCATTGTTGCTTTTGTTATTTTAAAATGTTTTAAATTCATTTAAACTGGGGAATGCCCTGTGGTATTTTGAAAGCTGGTAAATTCCAATGCTAAAACCCCTGAGTATTAAAAATTCGACCCCTCCCCCCTCGAAAAGTTTGACTTACTGAATAGGAGAAGAGATGACAATTTTCAAAATTAGAATGCTGAATGTCAAAACGACTTGTGGAAGAATGTTCCAAACACTCAAAGATCTTTAAATAGCTTTGGACTCTACGAAGAAAACTCTTCAAACAAGGGCAGCCTCCCCAAGGACCAAAAAGATGGAAAATTAACTCTCCAAAATGTCTCCCTTCCTACTATTTATATACATTTCTTACCAAAAATACAAGTTTATGTTCACAGGCCTGACGAAGTCGTAAAGAATACGCAAGGGAAAAAATACGCAAATGCTTTCTTCAGGTTAATTTTGAAGATTATTTTGGCTATAGAGTTACGTAATATTTGCAGAATCTGTTAGAAATAGTTGTTCTTATCTGCTTCAAAATAAGGTGTGCCCACTGTACGTAATTCTGGTTTTAAAAAAAAGCTATTCTACCACAGACACATGCACTTAACAGTTATACTGAAGTGGAATTTGAGGCTATAGAGAAAGGCAAGTATCTTCCATTTCAACGGGGCCCTCACTGCTGTGACACCAGCGCCACCTACTGGCCTCATGGCGGAATCGGTTACAGCTGCAGAGTTCTTGAATTATTTCCTAGGGCAAGGCCCCCAGAGCAACTTATCCTAAAGCAAACCGGGGTTTATCCAGAATGGCTACTGGCTCAGCTTTACTCAAGAGAAATTTGGTTTCTAAAAAAAAAAAAAAAAGAAGAAAAAAAGAAACCAACCTACCTCTTTAAATTATTATATAATAGTTTTACAAGGATCTTGAAACATTCAAATATTGAAGTGATTTTCACGTGAAAAGCATTTAACTTTAAAAATAAGTATTTTCACATACCCTGAAAAAATAAACAAGAATAAGAAATATGTCTATTCCAAACACTAAGCTCTGGACAGAATTTTTTTTTTTAACACATCAAGCCTTAACGTTTAAAAATACATTTTCCAAAAATTATAATATTAACCTGAAGTTACTTGAAAGCTCCTAAAAATGTTCTTAGATGAAAGTCACTAAGTTCACACTTTATGGGGAGGATAACTGAACACTCCTCATTTATAGAGCAAAATCTTATAAGGGTTTTGTTTATCTCCAATAGAAGACATTCCTAACCTGTACTTTAAAAACTGTAAATGAAAGCAGAAAACTTACTCATTGTGGCTAATTAGTTTGAGATAGCTGTTTCCAAGATCTAGCTACACATGGGATGAGTGAGGGTCTGTCTGGCAGTAGAGAAAGATGACAGTGATGGGGTCTCTCAGGTACCAGGGCCCAAAAGGAGCAGGCCATAGGGTCCACCAAGCATTAACTTCCTCCCCACTCCCCACCCACCCCATAAATACAGGTTTAGAAACAAGCCCATATTTTTTAAGTGATCGACATTTTCACTTTCTTGTGCATTATAAACACCTGAAGTTGGAGATATGAACAGTTCCTGTAGCTCATAATCAGACTTGAAGCCCTATAGAGCTTACTTTTAAAAGAGGATTCTTGTTTCCTTAAGTCAAGCCTGACAACCCAGGGACGCTCTCTCCCATTCCCTCTTCTATCATAGGAGGTGTTCCAGATGAGACACAGTAATATTGTACCTAGTACAAAATAATCACTATGTTTGGGGAAGATTAATATCTAAAATCGTTTGTTTGGCTTCAATAAAAAGAAGTAATATTGCTAAATATGTAAGTATGACATTTTGAAGAATTTACCATATTGCATGGGTCTGGTAGCTATGCTTAAGGAAATTAAAAACCACTACAGTCAGCATATTTGATCCTTATTAAAGTTCTGTCTTGAACTATCACTCACATAAAACAAAAATAAACCAAGAAGAAATTTAAATAAAACCTACGGATTACAAGAGTTGAAGATGAAAAAATGAACAATATTCTGCCTTTTAAAAATTGACTTAGCATGCAGCTTCTCTTTATAGTCCCTTGATAAAAATGAAATCTCCCTAACAAACACTTAATAAAACCTGTCAATATCTCGGGAAAGAAAAATGACACAAATGCATTAAGTATTAAATACCCTTGGAAAAAGTCACATATTCCATGAATTTTTGATGTACTATCTTGACATTAATGTAAAACCTTGATATTTATAATTGACAGATATTTAATAAAGTATAAAGAAGATGACTGCTGTGTAGCATGCAAATTTTTCAGGTTGATCAGAAATGAAAGATACAGACATGTACTTAAACTAAATAAACAGTTAATATGTGCTACACGAATCAGCTGCAGCCTTATTTTAAGCTCACACAACAAATCTTGGTGGAGAAGCAAAATAAGCAGAATTCATTATTATGTGAATTCCTAATTCAGAAACATCTAGTATGTGAAACAGCTTTGCAACAGCTCTGCACAGGAACAAAATACATTTGGGTTAAAGCTGCTTCTTGTTTTTAATATTTAACAGTAAACATTTCAAAAAATAAAATAAAGACAAGCACTTTCATAAATATATGGACAGGTATTTCCTAAAACAATTCTTTAAAAAAAACCACATTTAACCTAAAGAAAGATTCAAAACACTCTAAGGAAATTAAACAAAAAAAGATTAAAACACACAAATGGCCTCTAGGACACAAACACTTCTCAAAATCAGATCTTTACTTTTCTAAAGAATACTCATCTCTAACCTTGACCAGTTTTTATATGGAAACTGAGTTGAATACATTTAATAATCACCTTCAATGAGGCATTTAAATATATTAAAAGGAAAGTAGCTCAGTTCATAAAAATGACTCCTAAATACTGTATTTTAAAGAATTTTACAACCTGCTGTAATATATAATCAATTGTTAACTTGAAAAATATGTATGGTAGTTCAGTGACCTATTAATGGCTCTATAGTATCAGGAATGACAAAACATAATTTAGAAGTTGTACCTATTTTGTTCTGATAAAAAACCACAGTAGCATGCAATTTGAACTTCCTAACTAAAACATGTCGAAGACTGTATTTGGCATATGTATTAAAAGGCAGGGGGCAGGGAAGGGGCAGAAGGAAAATTTACACTTAGAACACTGAGGTTCC